TACATTAGACACAAGGCTAATCTAATCCTAAAGTAAAGAATACCATAGCCTCTTTATTATACGACTTTAAAATTAGCCTCAAAAGAACCAAGACGAGGGAACCAGCAGTTAGCATAATGGCTATGTCGCTGGACTCCCACGTAGTCGACCACGGTTCGTGTCCCAGACCCAGTGGCTTAAAACTCACACCGGGCGCGTGTGCGTGCGTGCCCAAGATCCCGAAAGGAGAATGGAGGAGAAGGGATTGCGGCATGACCATCCCCCCTGGGGGGTGATTTCTCGCTTTCTGTTTCTATGTCTCTCTCTGTCTGTCTGGCGAGCGCATGCGCCCTATAGTGAAAATCTCTCCAAAAAAAAAATAATAATACTAATAAAATAAATAAATAATAAAAAAATAGAAAAATGGCCATATTAACAGGGTAAGGAATGTTACTAGAATTAAAGAAGAATCTTTTATAATAATAAAAGGTCAATTCATCAATTTATATAAAAGTTATAAGTGATTATGAACGTGCTGGAAGAGCATCAGACAAACTGAGCTGATAAAACCACAATTGCCATTGGGAATTTCAACGTTCCTCTTTCAATATCAATGAGTGGACAAAAAGGTGATAAGGATATGGGGACTTAAACAGCAGTGTTGACTAAAAGATTTAACTCATATTTTCTAGAACATTACACTTAATTGCAGAATTCACATTCTTTTCCATTGTACATAGGACATTCATCAAACCATATCTAGACTGTACCGTAAAAGGAGTCTCAAGATAGTTAAAAGAATTTTTTTAAAAAATTGTCAAAGGAGATTCCCCACACATATATACCACCACCTAGAACCCAGGCCATGACAGAGAAGTTTCCTCATGGTCTTTCTTTGCTAGAAGTTTGATTTTTCCAGTTCATTCTTCAACTAAGAGGATAACCTTTCCAATGAATTTTTTCTTCCCTTGAGATCACAGTTTCAAATCCCAACCTTATGTGAAAACCTTGTCTGTTTCACCCATAGCCACACAATACGAAGCCTCTTTGTTACTGGGATTGACAAATGTCTGCAGGATAGCTACCTTTTATGCCATCACACAGTTCTGGTTTTCTGCTCTCTTTTCATTTTCAACCATTGAGGATTTCCCTTAGTTTTTTTTGCATACTCATCTAGGCATTTCAAAATATGTTTCTAACATTTTGTTCAGCATTCTAGGGGTTTTTGTGGTCAGAGGGTTCTCAGAGGATCTAGTTTACATGTTTTTGGAACTTAAAGCCTGTCATCTAATTCTTTAGCTATTTTATGAGTTCAGATTACATTAGCTTGATCAAAAGTACCCTCATTTAGAGACGGACAGCCTTGGGTTTGAATTTCAGTATGTAATGCTGAGCTATGTGTGCCCAAATTCCCCGGAGGAGGGAGAGATGGAGGAGAAGGGAATGTGGCATGACCATTCCCCCATAGGAGGTGCTTTCTCCTGTCTCTCTTTCCTGTCTCTCTCTCTCTGGCAAGTGCACATGCCCTCTAGCAAAAAGACTAAAAAATTAAATAAAGGGACCAGCAGATGGCATAATGATTATGTTGCTGGACTCCCACGTAGTTGACTACAATTCAAGTCTTGGATCCAGCAGCTTGAAACTCATGCCAGGCATGTACACACGCATGCCCAAAGTTCCTACAGGAGAATGGAGGGGACTGCAGTGTGGCCCTCCTTCCTTGGGGGGTGGGTATCTCTTGCTTTCTGTTTCTCCAGAGAGCACACATGCCCTATGGCATAAGTCTCTAAAAAAAAACAAAAATAAATAAAAATTTTGAGGTTAAGAATGTTTACAAAAACACAACAGGATTTTAAAATTAGTGATAGGAAATTTCTACTTGATGATATGACATTTTATTTAAAATCTGAATGAAGATGAAAATGTTCTAAAATTAGATTGTGGTGATGATTGTGTAATTCTGTGAATATACTAAAAACACAGCACACTTTAAGTGGGTGAACTGTATATATTTAAAGTGTATCACAATGAAGCTTTCTATTTTTATTTTATTTTATTTTTTTAGATTTTTGCTATAGGCACATGGACTTGCTGGAGAGGTAGACAGAGTCGGAGAGAGACAAAGTGAGAAATAACCTCTCTAGTCCCTTCTTCTCCATTCTCCTCTCAGGATTTTGAGCATTCAGGCAAACTTGCCCGGCATGAGTTTCAAGCTGCTGGGCCCAGAACTTGAGCCACAGTCAGCCATCTGGACGTCCAGTGCCCCAACCACCATACTATCTGAATGAAGCTGTTCTTAAAAAAATGTCTGAGGGATTAGCAGCTGGTGTGGTGGATAAGGTATTGGACACTCCCATGTGGCTGACCACAGCTCAAGCCCTGGACCTGGTGACTGGTGACTTCCTTTCTCACTTTCTGTTTCTTTTACTCTCTCTGGTCAAATTTAAATAAATAAATTAATTAATTAATTTAATTAAATAATTTTTTTTTTAAGTCTGAATGCAGAAAGCCAGATGAAAATTGAGAAGAAAGAACATTTTGGCCCAGGGAACAGAAAAGACTCGAGGCTGAAATGGGCTGTAGTCACTGTGAGGAAAAGAAAGATTTGGTGGTGGGAGTTTGGAGGAAATTGGAGAACTGAGATCGACTACCAGTAAGAGCCAGGCCATGCAGGACTTATTAGGCCACACTGCATATTTTGGATTTTATTTTAATTGCAATAGATAGCTTTTGAAAAACAAACAAACAAAAATAGAGACGTGATATCTGGTTTTTGCTTTGAAACAATCACTATGCTATCTGTAAGGCAAAATAATTAACAGGAGGGAAAAAGTACAAACAGGGAGAACTATTCCAAATAGCTAGAATGAAGGTTCTAGAAATTCCAGCTTTGACTTAGTACTCAATTCCCTCAACTCTAATTTATTGATTATATACTTTTTCTTTTTTAAAATAATTTAATTTTATTAATTATTATTATTGTTTATTAATTTGACCAGAGACAGAGAGAGGGAAAGTGAGAAAGCAAGCCACCAGGTTCAAGACTTGAACCACTGCTGACCATGTGGAAGTCCAGCATCTTAATCACCATGCCACCTGTCGACCCTAATTACATACTTATGCTAAGAACAGTGATGTGACTGAAAAGGCCATTATAGCCAAGACATTACTAAGAAGTAGAGAATTCATGCAAAGGAAAGGTATTATTGTAATAGTATCTTGCAGTTTGTCTTCCCATTGATTAACAGTATCCTGGATTATTTATTCAAGCATTTTTTTTCCTTCTTTCATTCCTTCTTTCTCTCTCTCTCTAATTTGCCAGAGGTTGCATGCATTCACCAGAGAGAGAGAGAGATAGAGAGGGAAAGTGAGAAAGCACCCCCTATAGGAATAGTCATGCCACAATCCTTTCTCCTTCATTTCTCTCTCCTTTGGGGATTTTGGGCACACACATGTGGCTGGTGTGTTTTTCAAGCTGCTACGTCTAGGACTTGAACTGTCCAGTTAGCCATTAGCCATGTGGGATCCAGTCATAGTGGACAGCCTGAATCACCATACCACTAGCTGGCCCAATTTTAGCATTTTCAGCTGACATTTTCTGGGCCACCAGCTGGAGGGTCAGGAGTGTTAATCATTGCTAGACCACAGTTTACTAACTTTTTTCCCATCTCGATCACTGTTCCAAACAATCCTGAACCATACATGTTTCTCTTCTATGTAAGAACTAAGTCAAAATTTCCTATCTAGAACCCACAAGAAGGAAAATGTAAGGCGATGCTAAATATATAAATTCTATAAATCAGACAGCTGTGTTGCTTTATAAAAGTGATTAAAAGCATGTCCTCTGAACTCAGACAAAATTTGGCTTAATTCTAATTGCTGCCATCTAGTGAATGGCTTAGGGATAGTTCTAAATTTTGTAAAATAAAACAAGGAACAAAAAATACAAAAGCCTCATTTAGTGTTCAAATGAGTTGATGCCTATAAATCACTTAGCACACAATTTCTGATACAAAGGAAGCACTCAAAGTTGGTAGCTTATTATTGTTTATTGTAATAATAATTTTGCCATTTTTTCACAATGGGAAAAATAAGCATTTTTTTAAAAAGATGTAATTTGCCTACCTTTATAAGTCATGGACCTGTTAACCACTACATAAACTAAAAATTATCATATGGTATATTCCATATACCATATTCCATTCCAACCTAGTAATGTCAATTTTTTCACATAACAAAATTAGTTTATAATGAATTTTAATCATTTAAAAATCTTGAGTGGATATTTCATTTTGGAATTGAGAAAGCATAAATAAGACTTTTAACAAACTATTCCTAATTACAAAATATGTCATATTAAATTGGATCTTTTAATATTCTCAAATGAAAATCAAATTCATGTTTGATATTAGAAGAATGATTACATATAGGATGCTGTGATTTTCTAGAGATTATTAGGTATACTTTTTATACTTTTTAAAATTTATACAAAATGAATTTTTTAGAGAGACATTTTTGCTATAGGGCACATGCACTTGCCAGAGAGAAAGAGAGACAGAAAGTGAGAAATCACCCTCCAGGGTGGATGGCCATGCCACAATCCCTTCTCTTCCATTCTCCTCTCAGAATTTTAAGCACATGAGCATGTGCACCCAGGGTGAGTTTCAAACCACCAGGTCTAGGACTCAGACCATGGTCAGCAACATATCATTATGCTATCTGCGGTGCCAGCACAGAATGAATTTTAATGACAGTGGGAATTTTTATACTGTCAGTGAAAAAGTAAAATATAAAATAGCATATACATTGTTATACACTGTTCTTGTGAAACTGTAAGAATACTTAGACAACTGGGGGGCCAATAGGTAGTATGGTGGTTAAGGCACTGGACTCTCACATGGCTGACTACAGTTCATGTCCAGAACCTGGTGGCTTGCTTTCTCACTTTCTCTCTCTCTGCTGAACACATGTGTTCTACAGCAAATTAAAAAATAGTAATAAAAGATAATAAAATTAAATACAATAATTCTTTAAAAAGAAAAAAGAATACTTAGACAAAAGGGTAAAGTAAAATATGTCCAAAAATTAACAATAATTGATTTGGGAGGTGGAAGTAAACATGATTTCTTCATGTTTATTCTTATTTTTATTTTAAAATATTTTCCAATGTGCATAACTATGATAAGAAAATGATAAAGTTAACCTGTTTTAAAAATAGCAAGCTGTGTATCAAAATACAAATACAAATTGGAGACAATCTGTTAGAATATGCTGGTTCTTACAAAGTACTTGAGAAGTTTGTTGGGGAGAAAAATTTCCTAGAAACCAGAATTACATTAAATGGCCTAAAGAAAGGCAAAAGCATTTTAGGTTATTACTCTATTAACCAAGTTTGTGATACATATATTGGAAATATATCAAAAACTTTGTGAGGACCTTTTCCTCTACTAAGCCATAACAAAGCACTTATTCAAAACTGATACAAAAGTTGACAACGATAACCACGAAAAAATTGGAAAGTTCATTCAAGTGAACAAAGAAGGAGAAAAACATTGTAAACATGTCTGCTTTCTTAGGAAATGATTTATGATTAGCATCTTTTTCTCTTCTTTAGAGACTGTTATATAAAATACAAATATCCAAAAACTTTTGTAGTAGAGAGTTTATCCGTTCCCATATAGTCACTGCCCCTCTATTTAGGTATCAGTTAATTGCCTTCAATTAACTACCTTACATTTCTAGGAGTCTAAAGGGGAGAGAGTTCCCGAACTCTCTCCCAAGTCTGTAAATGGGATAGTTTACCGCTGTGTCCCATGTGGAGAGCAAACCATGTATCTTCTAAAAAGGCAGAGATCCCTTTATCCATTATTGGTATCATCACTATTACCCTCAGTCTTCCTAAGCTCTAAAAGCAGTAACAGAGAAGGATTAAACGTATAATACCAGCAATTTGGTCTACAAGCATTTAGAATGTCATTATCCTTCAATAGAACTGTTTTGAGTGAAATGTTGACAGTTTACAGGCTTTAAGATCTCATATGCCTCATGCTAAACAGTAACTTTTTTCTCTAAATTGTTATATAAAATGCACAGTACATTTAAAACGATTTAATTTCTTACTTTAAACTTTAAGAAGAGAAATGTCTTTCTAAAAAAAAATCTTTGTTAGGAGGCCATATAAGTGGACATCTGGTTTGTCTGTGGTAACATCGATGATCATAATTTGTATTATCATGTATAACTCAACCAGCCAAAAGTCAACTTCTTTAAGAATAATAACTTCTGGTACTTCAGGTAAATATGCATTTTTCATTAGAGTAAAATCATGTCTAACATTTCACAGAGCTTAAATGCAAACAAAAATGATTAATAATATTCATATATATGCAAACTATACTCAAACCACAATATTAAAAAGGTATATTACATTTTAGACAAAATGGCAAAACTGGAATTTTTAGTTGGCAAGAATTTTATGTAGCAAGTTTGTTTATTCAGTAACATAATCATAAAATAGAATATCACATTCCAAAAGAGCACAATTAAAGAGCACAAAATATCATTTTAAAGCAGAGAAGCAATGGGATCATTTTCAAGAGTCTCAAAGAAAGACTTTACAATGCTAACCTTTCACAATTAACAGGACTAATATGTGCTTTTTTTGTATGTATGTGATTAAAACAATCATGGTACCTGAGTGATGCATACATTCATTGCATATCACAGACATCATTTTTAAAAAGTATTATTCTAATTACTTAAACAGTTGTTTCAGCTTATTTAACACCTTGTCTAAATAGCTTTAAAGCATATAAAAAGCAAACCATTGCAAATTTCTAAGGATGAAATTTTCTGGTATTCAATTATCTAAATATATATTTACCCATTAAGTTAGAATACTAATTGCTTAATATGTAAAACTAGTTTGAAATCATGATTCTTGATTAAATATAAAGTTGAACATCTCTCATGAAAATTCTTGACTTCAGAAAAGACTTTAAAAAACTAGCTTTGGGTGTGAATCACCATTACATTCAGAAACATGGCAAAAACAAAGAGTTTTGTTTCAGAGACTAAGTTCATAATATGAACCAACTATTTTTGTATATTATATTAATAAGTTGGGTGTGTTTTTTTTGTTCAAAATCTCAAATACAGCTGATAGTAACAATATCCATACATGAGACCTAGTAAAATGGCACTTCAGGGAAATTATTACTTAACCAAAAGTAAAAATATTCTTGTTGGTTTTCTGCCTGGGACTTAAATTGTGGTCTTGCATTAATAAAACAGGCTTTTGGAATTTGGATTTTCTAGTTTTTGGTGATACTTTGGAGACTTTTGTGTTTCTCCATGTAGATATTTCAGACAAATTAAAAAATTGAGAAGACTTTTAACAAAATAAAACTCCCATTTAGATGATAAAATATATTAATTCCAATATTATATAAATAGGTCAAACATAATTCATTTATTGGGTAAGTGCTACATTCTGAATCATCTAACTCAAATTAAATTCCACTCTGTGACAAACAATTCATTTTCTCATTAGGTAATCAATGTTACCTTCAATAAGGCAATTCTCGTTTAGCCTTTGGCCATAGCAGTTGTCTTTAAAACAAAGTTCTAAACCCGTAGACTATATAGAGAAATATATAATTCCCTTAGCAGATAGTTAAGGAAATCTCTAATAGAGATACATGGTAAAAAGAGTATGGGGTCTGAAGAAGTCTTATCTAATTAACAGGGGGTTTCCTTTCCCTATTCATATTCAGGGCTTCCTTTCCATATTCCAAGAAACTCAATATTAAATGGATAAATGAATCTGTGAGGTTAAAGTTGTAAGATTATGCAATGATTTTCAGATTCTTCATTCTTATTTCTAAAATAGAAAGGGACTGGAGATAACAGAATATTACTGTTTTCTAAAAGAAAGTAGATTAAAAAGTGCTTATACTTTTTCAGATCTTTACAATGTTGATTAATGCTCATCGGCAAATAATAAGAACATTGAATTCATTTGGATAGGGAAATAATGGAAAATCCATAGAAATATATTTATAATTGGTAAACCAATCAACAAAGCACAATATGCATCAAAGGAAAGAGAATATTACTTACATTCAAGTTAATAAAAAAAGCATTTTGAGTAAGAAAATTCATTTTTATAAAAAAGATTTCTATTTATAAACATCATTAATCAACAAACATATCTAAAATGCTATTAATAAATCCCTTTACAATTACAAGTGAAAGCCGCTGTGTTTTCCTCACTGGGAATACTGCTTTCAGTCATCTTTTTTGTCTGAGGTACTCTCTTCATGATTTTCAGGGCTGACTTTATTACTTGCAATGGAGGGAACTGTCTGGACTTCTTTTGGTAATGAAAACACATGGCATGTCTGGAGGTCTAAGTATGTTGTAAATATCTTAGCATATTCTGGATGCTTTAGGGCAAAACTTTTAAATTCCTCTGGAAGAGGAGAAAATAAAATCCAATGAATTAGGGTGAATTTTCTTTTGGCATGATGCAGATTAACACAGGACCTTAATAATAAAGTACAATTATCGCAAAATATTATTACTCAACTCATAAATGTTGCTGGTGGGCATATAAATTGCACAACCACTTTAGAAGATATTTCTTTCATTACCTAATAAAGCTGAAGACATACATAGTCTATAACCCAGTAATTTTATTTTAAAGTATATAATCCAGAGAAACTTTTCCATAATATGTTTTGAGAAACATGTATAAGACTGTTCATGGCAACATTATTTGTGACAGGTTAAAAAAAAATTGGAACAATTCAAATGACTACTAACAGTAGAAATGGATAAATAAATTATAGCATATTGGGGCTAGTAGGTGGCATAGTGGTTAAAGCACTGGTCTCCCACATGGCCAACCACAGTGCTAGTTCTGGACCTGGTGCCTTGTTCTCACTTTCCCTCTCTGCTTCTCTTTCTGGTGAGCATATACATGCCCTATAGAAAATTTTAAAATAATAATTAATAAAATTAAATAAATCACTCTTAAAAAATAAACTATAGCATATTGATAGAACATAATGCTATACAGCAGTGAAAATGAATGAACAGTCATACAGTAATGATGTGGATGAATCTTAAAGTCATGACGTTGAATGAATAAAGTCAATACTAAAGAACACATTGTATGAGTCCATTAATAAAAATGCAAAAACTTAGGCAAATGTTAAATATAATATTTAAAGATGCATGCTTTGCGATGAAATGCTAAACTAAAGTGAATCAAATCAGAGATTTCTTTTTAAGTCTGGATAGAGAAGAGAGGAGGAGTTGCGGTTGTGGTTAGAAGTGGCCCATAGGGGTTTCTGAGGCTTTGGAAAAGCTTTATTTCTTGACTTGAATGGTAGTTACACAGATGTTCACTTTATAAAACTTCATTGTGCTCTATACTTATGTTTTATTTGGTTTTCTGTAGTTTTGTTATTTTAGCAATGAACAATGTTTTAAAATTTCTATTACTTAAGACTTCCTATTGCTGGCTTTTAAAAAAGGTTAAACATCAAAAACCAAAGCAGATTTCCCTGAAGATTTATTTAGTTTGGCAGGCAAAAATATACTTACTTACAATTAATTTTTAGTGTTAGCTTTCATTGAAACAGTTATTCTAAAAAGTTTATCAAAATTTGGCAGTTTGGGTAACGGTCTTATTTTTTAAAGGAAAATGGTTAGAGAAGGATTAGTACATGTGGGTTTATGTCTCATAAATTTTATCTCAGTATATATACTTTCCCATTTTATCCTTTTCATTGAAAAAAAATGAACTCAACAGGTTAAGTGTACTAGGTACTTAATTACCTAAAATAGAATACAGGACAAAATGACAATATTTTAAAATAAACAGTAAGGAAAGTATGTGACCTACTTTCTCCATCCCATGACAGTTAACAGGCTAAAACTTTATGAACATTCATAAAAGAAAAAGTAATTAAAGAAGAAACCTGCTCTAGCCTGAGAGGAAAGACTGAGGAAGATAAACCAGCTTGACTCTATGACCACATCAAAGCTAAGGGAGGCGATCAGTCACCTAGACCTCTCCAATGAGGTGTGTTTTCCAATGACTGCACTGTGAAATAGAGAAACTGACTTACCATCCTTCAACCCTATGCAACTTGTTTTGATGTGTGGACTTACTCCCTCAGGAGACAGGACTGCAATTGACAGATGGACCCTGCCATTCTGCCACAGAGTCTTCCTCCAAGACAGTCCTTGCCTCACAGGAGTTACAATCAAGATGGCATGAGACAATGAATGTGAAAGTTTACATAAGCTGCTAATAGTAAATATCAATAAATGCATGAGCTACTATCGTCATAGTAAGTACTTCAGCTCATATTCTTCTACTGCAGTACAAACTCAGCTTAGTGAATTACTCAGTTTTGCCTGGCCACACCGGAATTAAGGTATAGACTCAACGGTGTAGGTCCTAAAGTCAAACTGTCCTGGTTTTAAATACTGGCTCTGATGCTCGTTAGCTGAATGATTTTAGATAAGCTAACTAAATTCTTTGTATGTTAGGAAAATGAGAATAATCAAGAACACTGACTAATTAGGTTTGGTGTAAAGATGAAATGAATTTAAATTTATCTAAAATGTTTAGGAGAGTTCCTATCATATAAATCTTTACTATCGAATAGTTAGCTACTACTATTATTCTTTTATCAGTACTACAAATTATTACCATTATCATCATCATCATTACTATGATTTCAATTATTGATAAAATTATTATAGTTAAAAGAAACAGCACTCTTATGCCTATAGATTCAGACTGGATACCCTCTTTGTAAAATGAATCAGAAGGCCCAAATTGTTTACTCACCGTAAGAAATAGAGTCCCCTTGGGCTATTTCCTTAAAAAGGCTAGAAACATCAAGATCAGGCACTCCAAGGGAAGCCTGTAGAATGGTGGAAAACTCTTCCTCTGTTATGTAGCCATCCTCATCAACATCAAAGAGCTGAAGGAAAAAGAAAACAAAATTTAAGAATTTAACTTACTGAGAACAACAATGGTATGACATTCTCTTAGAAAATAAACTCTTTAGGGACCAGCAGTTGGTGTAGTGGCTATGTCGCTGGACTCCCATGTGGTCGACTGCGGTGGCTTAAAATCACACTGGGCACGTGTGCATGCGTGCCCAAGATCCCAAGAGGAGAATGGAGGAGAAGGGATTTCAGTGTGGCCATCCCCACTGGGGTGTGATTTCTCACTTTCTGTCTCTCTGTCTCTCTCTGGTGAATGCACGTGCCCTATAGCAAAAACCTCTCAAAAAAAAAAAAATAAAAAATAAACTCTTTAATACTTCAAATGCTTTTTGTGCCTGGGGATAGGGATATGTATGTGAAGAATATATAATATCCATTCCCTTTCAACATTTAGTTTAGTGGTGAAAAGAGAGAAACAGGCTGACACAGTAGCACAGTAGTAACACATGCTCAAACAATGCTCAATCTATATGGGGACTATGGCATAAAGAGAAGGATATAAACAGGGTGGTAGCTAAGTACAAAAAGAGATTGTCTTTAGGAAGGGAGAAACCAAATATGTTTATAGGTGAGGGAAAAAGAGAAGGACAGGTTGGAAGTCTATCATTAAACAGACAATTGATAGATTATTAATATCTCATACTCAAATTCCTCTCCTGGATGTTAAGAATTTTTAATGATATAAGCATTTAATCTTTATAGGAACTGATCAAAAGTGTTCAAATCACTTAATATGTATTAACTTACTTAACCCCTATTTAACCATCACAGTCATCTTATGTTTGGTAGGTACCATTGTCAACTCTACAGTATGGATGAGAAAAATGAGGCACAGGAAGTTAGGTAACTTTTCCCAAGATCACATAATTTCTAAGTGGTAGAAATGACATCTAGATCCAGGCAGATAATATTTAGAATTCCTACCGTTGAGGTCTCTATTTATGATTAAATATGAGATAAAAAAAAAAAACAGAAAACAGGCATTAAATATGGTGAGATAATCATGAAAAGAATAACAAATGAATATTTAATAGTGTTTTAATTTTCCATGAAAGTGGGAGGGAAAAAATATCACTTGAAGTTGGGATTTGTCACCCCCAGCTGAGAAAACATTTGCTTTCAGTCCATTTCCGACCATTCAGTCCCTAACTGGGAGACAAGATAGTTGAAAAGTGGAAAGCTAGCATCTGTTTTCACTATTTGTAGACTTTGGGCTTCTTATGAGCCTTAGACTTCAAACAATTAACTATAGGATTCAGTCATACCTCTCTCCTCACAAACTCTAGGTTTTCTTTGAAGTTCTTCCAGTTCTACACAATTCTTACCAATGCCTCTTAACAGTCTAAATTCTTCCACATTTGAGATTTTCTGGCTTTCATTTCAGTACAAATTCCCATCATGCTGTCCATACTGGAGCCTTTGGCTTCCTCTACCTCAGTATTCTGCCACGACTACCCCAGATCACTCCCCTTACCAAATTCCTCAGTTTCCCTTATTTACTCATCACTTCCAATAGCCTCCCTGAGCAAATCTGATGATCTGGGCTCTAGTAAAAAGCTTAACATCCCAGTTTCCTTTTGGGAAATGCTATCTCTCTATTGTATAGAGTATTGTGGGGCTCTTAATGCAAACCTTATGTCTTCCCTACTAAGCACATGGCCCAAGACCATTTGGACCATCCCTGGTGTGTCAATTAAGAACAAAGCTGGAGTTTTCTCTTTTAAATGTCGTGCCCAGAGGTAGGGCAGTTCCTATCGCTGAGACCTCTGGCACTGCCTAGTCTTGAATTTTCCCTTGTGCCTATCCCACAGCCTCACAACTGATTCCATTTTGGTGTCAGTGAGCCCAAATCGGAGAACTCTGAGTAATAATCTGCCTCTAAAGGTCAATGCAAAGATCAGACAAAAGTTGAGAAGTTAACAGTGAAGCACTATTCAAATGAAAGGATATGAAAAGATCATATAAGAACATATGTAAAAGGATAATACTAAGTGAAAAAATAAAATGAATGCAAAAAGATCTCCAAAATATGAAACCTAAAAAAGAAGGTTGAAAAATAACCATTGTAAAGCATGATCCTTGCCTTACTGAAAAAAGAGCTAATTACAGTTTTAAGTCTTTCTTTCTTCCCCTCACCCCAATCCCCTAACCAAAGTCTAGGCTAGATAAAAATCTCACAACTTCTTTAAAAACAATAATTACTGTGATGAAGGGCCAGTTTTTCTATCAGGTCTTTCATTGGTAAACCAAAAGTGACCATTTGTCCAACTAAACTTATAATTACACATACAATCCCAAAACAGAAACAGAAATATCTGGATTGGAATAAGTTAGCTATGTGTGTAATTTTAGGTTTTATGGTGAATAAGTCTGTGAAAGCTGGAAAAGTTTTAAACTTTGGAAAAAAGTTCTGGCCCTTGCTTTATGACCATCTGCTAAGCATCAACCACTTAGGTTCTTTGTAGGTCTAGCAGTTAACTTGGTTTAAACCAATCTAAAATAAAAAAGTAAATTCAGGAACTCTCTGTCAATGATAAAACACAAGAAAATTCCTGAGGCAATCCTTGGTGGCTTCTAAGACATAAGGAAGAACTTTTGAGGATAAGAAAATCTTTCTAGATAATAGAGGGGAAAAAAATGTGTTTGGAGTCACAGTGGGATATTCTTCTCAGAGTCAGGAGGTTAGAGAAGGACACAGGAATAGAGAAGGTCTACAGCTCTCAGTTGGATGGAAGAAGAAAGACTAAACTGCATAGTAAAAGTCAATATACACAGCTTGGTAAGACAGCAGGAAGATCAAGTTTCTGTCTTAAAGAGAGCTGACCATAAGCTTAGAATTCGAAGAAAACATTATATTTAAATGTCAATTAGATGAAGCACCTTTATTCTCAGAACTGAGAACATATTTTGGGAATGTTCAGTGGGACTGAAGCATTTATTCCACTATCAAATACATTTGTAAGTAGTGAATAGAAAATGGATCCTTATCATTTAAACTTACATTAAGTTCTGCTGGGGGCTAGAGACAAAAGTTTTATTCATCTGCTTCTAATTTAGATCCTTGTATTGCTGTGAAATATATATATATAATATAGGTAGAGCAGAAGATACATGAAGGATGACATGTGGGATAGAAACGCGTTGGGACATTTATGATGGTGTTCACCTTAAGCCAAATGACAAAATAAGTTCTACCAGGAAAATACCAGTTAAAATATCTCTGATACACATAATCAGAAAATAAGGATAGAAATAAGGATAGTCTTAATTTCTGGATAGTGAATTAAGATGACTAGTGACAGTTGGTGTTTATTTATAAACCTCACATTGGGACTTCAAAATGGGTAGGCTGAGAAGAAATAATTTTTAAAGTCAATTTGTTAAATCATCTGCTCTTCAATCTTGACGTTGTTAACTAGGCTGCTTCCAAGGATTTTTGCTTAAACGGATGCTTGTGCTGCCTTTATTCTCAGTAGCAATTGACTTAATTGCATTATGTCCCTGTACATGTCACAGCAGATCTATAAACTCATGTAATAGATTCACTGATTTTTAAATAATACACTTAGAGTCAACACTTGTTTATGAGGCAGACTAAGATGCTTTCAGTGGGACTGACAATACCTTAAATGCCACCTGGATAATGTCCTCTGTGTTGGCAGGGTTGCACAAGACAGCCAGGCCAATCACATACTCTCGGAAGTCAATACTGCCATCATGGTTCTGTGAAAGAATGGAAGAAATCAATTAGAATGGCCACTAGTTGAATCACTATTAATCACGCCACAAGTGAAATTCACGTATACCATGCAGTTCAACATCATCATGCACTGAACCAATATAGAGACAGATTCTTTCTAAGCTGGAACAGCAAGTAAGAGACACACCCATTTCTAATTCCAAAGAAATGAAAATTTATCTTCTGTTTAGTAATATAAACATCTTATCACTGAGGTCATTAAGAATATCCCCATAGCACCCAATGTGGGTTCTTTAGGCCTTGATAGGGTACCTTGATGGAAGGGCAAGATATAGGACTTTCATCCTTGGTGGAACTGAAACTTTATTCCACTATTAAAGGTGGTCCTGCCATGATGATCAACACCAAAAGATTAGTAAGAATCCTAAATGGTTTTAAGCAACTTTCTACATGTAGAAAATAGAAAACAAGGGAAAAGGACAAACTGAAACAACTATTACAACTGTATCTTTTCTTCCTTCCAGGCTTACTCTGCAGTAAACCAGGAACAAACCTGGGCATCTTCAATGCCTCCTTGGAGATATTAGGACCCAGAAGATTTTGTACTTCTAAGCCAGTGAAAATGAAACACAACTAGTATGATATATGTCTGTAGGCATTTCATGATGGCATTGTAAAAGAAGAGATTGATAATTCTGATCCTGACAGACTGAATAGAGTTTGCCCTATATATTATATACTCAACTAGATAGGAACATTGGGAAGATGAAAATGGAGAGAAAGAGTTTAAGCAAAAACAAAAAAATGGGGGGTGGGGGGAGCTAAAGCAGGCAGTGAAGGAAGACTGAAAGAAGAAAATAGAAAGCTAAAAGAAGAGAAGGAAGAGAAAAGAAAGGAAAAAATAAGATGGAGAGTAGGGGAGAGAGAGGAGGAGGGAAAGAAAGAGGGAGAAAGAGAACTGTAAATAAGTACTATGATTTAATTCCAGGTGCTAGAATAATTTGGCAACAAAATCATGTGATGAATTCTCAGATAAACTATGAACTAGTATCAACAAAGCTACTGAAACATTTAATTTGATAGATTAACAATGTTTGGCAATAATAGGAATGTGATCTTCAACTCTTACTAAGTACCTACACTTCAATCAAGAGTTCCTTAAAGGCAAGGATTACTTTATGTGGCACTGTAATCCCACTGCCTAGCACACAGATGGACGCTAAAAAACATTACATCCTTTTCCCCATTTACCCTTCCCAACCACTGGGGTCACAGAACCTTCACTTCATAATGCTAAAGCAAACATTCTTCACTGGGATTTCATATGAATAGATAAAATTAGGGAGAGAAGAGGCTGTGAAGCCCCTAGAATTGGTGCACAATTTTTATATGTACATTTTTCTAGGGAAAAAAGTGTGTAGCTTTTATCAACTTTTCAAAGAAACCTAGACTCAAAAAGTGAAGAATAGCTTTCAAATCTCACCATATCGCTTTACCTCACTGCAAAGTGGAAACTAAAAGGAGTAATAATTTAATCTCACGTTCCTACTAGAGAATGTAGAAACAGGTTTTAAAATTTCTTGAGTAAGGGATCAGCAGATAGCGTAATGATTATGTCACTGGACTCTCATGTAATCAACTGCGGTTTGAGTCCTAGACACAGCGGCTTAAATCTCATGTCAGGCACAGGTGCATGCATGCCCAAAATCCTAAGAGGAGAATGGAGAAGAAGAGATTGTGGTGTGGCCATCCCCTCTGGGGGGTGATTTCTTGCTTTTTGTCTCTCTGGTGAGCATATATGCCCTATGGCAAAAAGCTCTTTTTTTAAAAAAATATCCCTAGAGTAAACAAGTTTATTCCTGAGACAAAAACTTAAGTCATCTGACTTTCGGCCTATTAGAAAGCTATTTTCTTTCTCTCTCTCTCTCTCTCTCTCTTTCTTTCTTTCTTTCTTTCTTGAGAGAGAGAGGTTTTGGTTATAGGTTATGTGCACTCACTGGAGAGAGAGAGAGACAAAAAGCGAGAAACCATCCCTCGGGGGGATGGCCATGCCGCAATTTCCTCCATCCTATTCTCAGGATTTTGGGCATGCACACATGTGCACCCAGCATGAGTTTTAAGCCACTGGGTCCAGGACTCAAACTGCAGTCAACTATGTGGGAGTACAGCAATGTAACCATAAGCCTTATGCCATTTGCTGGTCCCTTCTTTCTTTTCTTTAATCAATTTTAGTATCACAACCAACTGTGGTATCATTTACATTCAACAGGATGCATCTATTTTAAGTGTATGGCTCAGTATGTTTTGATAAATGTATACAGCAAGGTAAACACAATCAATATTACAATAGTTCACCACTTCAGAAGTTTCAGAGAAGGCAGAGTTTTAAGGGACATAATTTCCTGCTTTTGTCGCCCCCATTTAATTTTATTATGGAGAAATATTTGAATTAGTTTTAGAAGTTTAGGAGCTTACTGAACAATAGCTATATTGCTCAACAGAGATGAATTTCTTCTGCCACTGACTTTTTCTGTTAAACTACATTGAAGTCTTGAATAGAAGGACTGAAGAATAGATCTAAGAATAGAATATGGACATGAAAATGACAATCATAGAGTACCTGTATGCTTAGAAATACTCTTTAAATTCATTTTTATTGCAACATACAATTTTTATTTATACTACCAATTCCTATGTATAATAACACAGGCCAAGCATCACAACTCATTTTGCAGATGTAGAAATAGAAATTTAATGGACCACTAGTCACAGAATAAGGTAATATTCTGGACCCCTCATTTTCATAATCTCATATATGAGAGGTCTTCAAAAACTTCATGGAAAGTGCATATTATGAAAAAACTATGCATGTACTTAATTTTTTTGCACCAAAATATCTTTGAAGAAAAGAAACGTTTAACAGACCAAAGAATGTAAGGTTCTTTAGTGACAAAAAAAGTTCTGGGGAAAAAAACGCTTTGAAGATACTCTAAAAATCCAAAGGAACACTGTTATTAAAATACAGTCAAGTCTCAATTACCCAGAAGAGTCAGGGAAGAGGTGTTCTGTTTACCTAAATATTCTGTTTCAGGTCATATTTCTAGGTTTGGCCATGTAGTTCAGTAGTTAAAGGAACCAAATGTCATATGTCTGACCACAGTTTGAATCTTGGCCCCTGTGACTTGAAAAACACTGTGGGTGGGGAACCAGCAGTTAGTGTAATGGCTATGTTGCTGGACTCCCACGTAGTCGACTGCGGTTCGCGTCCCAGACCCGGTGGCTTAAAACTCATGCCGGGCGCGTGTGCGTGAGTGCCCGAGATCCCGAGAGGAGAATGGAGGAGAAGGGATTGCGGCATGACCATCCCCCCTGGGGGGTGATTTCTTGCTTTCTGTCTCTCTGTCTCTCTCTGTCTGTCTGGCGAGTGCACGCGCCCTATAGCAAAAACCTCTCCAAAAAAAGAAAAAGAAAAACACTGTGGGTGCATGTATGTATATTCCTAAAATCCTGATTGGAAAGAGGTATGGAGGCAAAAGGATTGGGGCATGACCATATGCTATTGTCAGTGGTTTCTCTCTCTCTTTCTCTCAAGCAAGAGCATTATGCCCCCGGCCATTTTAAAAAAAGGAGAGCTTATTTCTACCCAAACACATAATTGTATTACCAATTTTCTAGAAATTAGATTGTTTTAATATACTTATAACTAAAAGTAAACATTTTAAAGTAATTCTTAAAGTTCTTCAAGATCAATATGGACATTCATTGTCAGACTCCACATGCATTTTTTAAGTCCCCACTATGGGTAGTTGTATAATACTACTGATAAGATTTCTGACTGAGGTTGTCACATAAATCAACCTTTTTTCTTTAATTGCCAAAGGCATGTGCATTCACCAAAGTGAGAAAGAGAGAGAGCAAGCGAGTGAGCATGTGCACGGTCATGCTGTAATCCTTTTTCTTCCATTTCACCGTCTCGTCCAGATTTGGGAAATAATGCATACATACTCAGGATATTTTTTTAAAGAGGTTTTTGCTATAGGGCACGTGCACTCGCCAGAAAGACAGACAGAGAAACAGAAAGCAAGTAATCACCCCCCCACACACACACAAGGGGAAATAGCCACACCATGATCCCTTCTCCTCCATTCTCCTCTCAGGATCTTGGGCATACACACACATGTGCCCAGTGTGAGTTTAAACTACCAGGTCTGGACTCGAACCATGGTCGACTACATGGGAGTCCAGTGACATAGCCATTATGCCAACTGCTGGTCCAATGCTCAGGGTATTATTTTTTAAGCCCCAGGTTGGGATTCAAACCAAGTGATAAGTCATGTGGAATTTGGCTTTCTGTGCACTGCACTTAACCACTTACACTATGAAATCTTTTGTTTGTTTGTTTGTTTTTGTTTTTGAGAGGTTTTTACTACAGGGCGCGTGCGCTCACCAGACAGACAGAGAGAGACATAGAGACAGAAAGCGAGAAATCACCCCCCAGGGAGGATGGTCACGGCACAATCCCTTCTCCTCCATTCTCCTCTCGGGATCTTGGGCACGCATGCACACGCGCCCGGCATGAGTTTTAAGCCACCAGGTCCGGGACGCGAACCGTGGTCAACTATGTGGGAGTCCAGCGACATAGCCATTATGTGAACTGCTGGTTCCCAACTTTTAAAAACACATGCATCACTACTCAAAAATATGTCAAAAGTTGCCTTCAGGTGACATACAAATTTTGTGGCTGAAGGGTGGGACAGCAGTAAAACATTACCTTCTGTGAGACTGACACACCTGGGATGGTTCTGGATTTATACTCCAGGACTTCCTTGAGTATTCTGGGCACATGCGTACCCACAAACCAGAACTGGCTGAAGCTGGGTATGGATTGTAGCACCAAGACTCTATTGGGAGTATTGTTTCTGCGTCTGTGTCTCTTTCACTTATGGAGAAAATAAATAAAATAAATTTTAAAAGAATGTTTTTAGAAGCTTGTTTTTTTTTTTAATTTTTAAAGAAAGAAGCTAAGTATTTATTGAACTTTATTCTATTTATTTATTTATTTATTTATTTTAATTTGACCAGAGAGTGACAGAATGAGAAAGAGAGAGAGAGAGAAAGTGAGAAAGCAAACCAAGCTGCCAGGTCTGGGACTTGAATCATGATCAGCCATGTGGGAGTCCAGCGCCCTTAACCACCACGCCACCTGCCGGCCTCAAAGCTTGATGTTCTTAAGTACCGAGCACATATTTCTTTTTCCTGCTTTTTATAGGTTATAGGGTTTAGTGAATTAGTAGGTCATTGGAAAAGTCATGCCACATTTTTGCATAGAAAAACATAGAAAAATATATCATGACTTCTGACAACCCAATATATCAAGATGAAGTTACTTTTCAAAACAATATGGACTTTTGACATTTAAAAATGCAAATGGTACAATTTCACATATTTTTATCACTGAGTGATTATTTTCAACTTACCACATTGATAGTATTATTGGAAATTTTAAAATAATGGGATAGAATTACATGAATCAAAGATCTTCATCTTAGGCTATGAGTAGTCTTCTATAGAAATGGATACTTTTTTAAAGTTGTCAAGTAAATATTTCCTCTTGTTTTGAAAATATGCCTTTAAAAATCATATTTTGGATAAAAATGAAAAAATTCAATTATTTGTTAAACTGTTTCTATGTAATGCTGAAGATTTGGTTACTCAGAAAAATCCAGAGTTTAGACTAAATTTTCTAACATCTACTCTGGTGACTGAAGTTACTTATACAGATTTTTTTTATAAATTCAGAAGACAACAGAAGAAAAACTTAGGTAATTTCAGGATGTTTTTCCAAGTATGTGTTAGAAGAATCATAAACATAGGTACTCCCTCAACTTGAGGAGTAAGAGAAATATTAGGTTGTCGGGAAAGTTATGATGTATTTTCCTATGTTTTTCTATGCAAAAAATGAGTCATGACTTTTCCACAGCCTGATATTTAATACCTCCCCTAGTGTGAAACAATTGTCTTAACTTTTATAAAGCTTTAATGATGAAGTGAGAAACAAAATGTGGCTACACTGTCTCTTCCACAACTTTCGTGTGGAAAGGTTAAATTTAAACCTAGTATTCTGAGGTCTTAAAAGACATCTTGGCAGTTTTTCCCCTTCCTAGCTACTTTCCTATACCCATGCTTAACATATTCCTGTGCTTATTTTAAAATAGGGAGACTGATATTAATGTGTGGTTGCTGGAAGCAGCCTAATTCTTATATAATCACACCTGGTCTAAGTAGCACACCAGACTGTTTAAATTACAAGTCCTTGGAGGAAAATGGATGTGATCACTGTGTTTGGCTCAGTTCAGAATGATATGCTTGCGGTATTTCATAAATATTATATGATGGTGATGATGGTGAGCAGAGGCCAACTGCCAACCTCTCCAGATTTCACTGGAGATTTCTAACAAGCAGCTGGGAGCTGTTATTGGGCTAGCTACATCATTCCTATAGTTACAACTTTCTTCTAAATGAGTCAAAAGAGGAAGGGAGGACTTATCTCTAACTCAGGAGGACCCTCCAAAGAAGCCTGGGAGAGAAGAAATGCATTAAGGACCAGAGAAGCAGAAGAGGTAGAAATGAACTAAATATCAGGCAGGTGAAATGAAAACTTGCAAATGCAGCCTCTAGCTGAGTCTACTCACATGGAGACCCTGCTAGCTACACATGCCTCTGTCAAAGTCAAACCAAGGGCTGTACAGAAGAAAGGCATGACCGGGACAAGCAGATGGCATAATGGTTATGTTGCTGTCTCCCACATAGTCAACTAATGTTTGAATCCTGGACCCAGCAGCTTAAAAGTCACACCAGGAGCATGTGCGCACATGCCCAAAATCCCAAGAGGAGAATGGAGAAGGGACTGTGGCTTGGCCATCACCCCTGGGGGTGATTTCTTATTTTCTGTCTCTCCCATGAGTGCACACTCCCTATATCAAAAATCTCTAAAAAAAATTTTTTTTAAAAGAAGAAAAGCATGACCACTCCAGCTCTTAGGTGACAGTTTCTTGGTATTCCTGTCTTCCTTCTCCTGAACATGCCCATTGACTCTCTTACTGGCCTCAGTTTTGGCTAAGACAGATTTGAAAAATACTGTAAAGCAGCTGTACTTTAAAACAGTCAAGGCTGTCAACCTTGGTTGCTCACTAGAATCACCTGGAGAGATTTAAAAATATTAATCTGTGAACCTCACTTCTAAAGGGCCTATTTAACTTATTTGGATTGAAACTCAGGTATTATTATATTTAATGGTATTCCTGACGAGATAGTCCAGCAATTCTAAATTGCAGCCAAGGCTGAAAACCACTGCAATAAGGAATCAGCAATATCTGTTCTCTATAATGCTTTATATATATATATATGTATTCTGTTTCACTGGTTATTAGTTATATGTTTTTCTTTTATATTTTTCTTGGTTTGCTTGTTTCCTGACTTCAGTTTTCCAAGATGAACAAAGAATTTTCCTTGCTCTAAGGCAGGGCAAGACATGACAAGAGCTGGCTAACATCAGCTGGGCATGCCTGATTTTGTATACAATAAATATAAGAGCAATCGTTTTGACTCATCAAGGAAACCAGAGACGTATTTGAATTAAGGGTGTATTCTTATTTTCCCCAATGTCTTTGATACTCTTTACAAATATGTAAAAAAAAAAAAAAGATGTTATACTTATTTTACACAAAAAATAGAACTAAATAATCCTAGAATGTTAGATAGTTGCTCCATCATTTAAAAAATGCTACCTTGATATAAAATCGTTTAATTTCACATTTCTGAATCTGTCTATGCAGTTAAAGAGGTTACCTGGAAAGTACTTTCTATATTTTACATAATGAAAAGACCAGCTGTGAAATGATGAGAAATACAGATTTTGAGCTTCCTTCCTCACTTTTTTAAATAAAAATATTATCTTCTTCTGAGTGCATTCTTAATTTAGTACAGGATTAAAACAAAATCATTCTTAAGATTATTAACAATAATGGTAAAGTTTTATCCTTTAAAATTCATTTACCAAATAAGCAATAACCCTGAAAATCTACTCCATTAGAATTCTGCCCCATTCCCCCATCACATACATAAGTCCACATAAATCCTGTATCTCAAAAAGCTGGTATACAAACCACTCAAGACATTTTTCATAAAAAATTGCTTTTAATTAAGTAGAAAAAAGTAGCATACATTCAGAAGTATGTAAAGTGGTGAAAGAGCTTGCCAGGAAATGACGGTTGTTGGACAGGGTATCAGCAACTATGTGAATAGGTTAGCAAGGCTTTCAGCAGTCCTGTCCTCCAAAGAAGATATTGACTTCCCAGTTGTCACTTTCAGGAATACATGGTCAGCTGCAGCCATTCTTGGATAGAAATTTGAATCAGGCCATCTGCATCTTTATCCAAAGATCTGAAGGCACGGAACATAGCATCCAGGCGGACCAGACAGCTGATAAAATTGTTAAAATCTATGCTTCCATCCTCATCAGCATACCGACGCACAATCATTTGGTAAAGTTGTTCATTTAGCTGGAAGCCCGCTGCCTGCAGAGCTCCCCGCAGCTGAGAACTTCCCAGAGACCCAGAATGGTCCGTATCATACTGTTTATAAACACACTGCCATTTCTTGATGTTGTTCCACAAGTACTTAAATTCTTCAAAGCCCAGCTTCCCAGTCGTGTCACTGTCCATGACAGATACAATGCTCCGGCAGGTGTCAAGACTGAAACCATCAGTCTTCAGATCCTTGTGCTTAGAAAGGACCTTGTTAAGGATATTCATCAGGTCAGTGGCACCCACCTCCATGTCTGGTCCAGCCAGCTGTGCAAATTGATGCCGAAATCGTCTAACTTCCTCACTTTCAGAGGCCTCCACATTGGTGAAATGCTGTTGAGTAGGAGGTGGTTCTGGAGTATACTGAGCTGCTGCAGCCTCACTGATAAAATTTACAATTCCTCCAACTATCCCTCCAATATTTCCTCCTCCTCCTCTTCTTTGACCACCTCCTCCAAGAAGCCCTCCAAGAGCTTCTCCAAGACCTCGGTCTGCCCCTTCCAAAATAGCCTTTGCAAGAAACATGTTTCCTGCTTAGAAAACAAGTGTAAGAGCTGCCGCAGTCCTAGAGATGGTAAGAGGAGAGCTGTAATGGAGTCCAATTAGTTTACATGTGGAAGAACTGGCTTTTCTGTATCTGCTCATATTCCACCACGCCCCATGATGTGATGTTTCACCTCTGGCTAAAGTTGCTTGAAATTCATTAGGTCCTAGCACCTGCCAATTTTTTAGAGAACTTAAATCAAATTGTATTTTTCTCTCCTAGATAAATGCATATAATCCATAGTATGTGTGACACATTAGAATTATATTTTTTAAAGAATTAATTAATTGTATTTATTCATTCATTTATTTTAATTTGACCAGAGAGCGACGGACAGAGAGCGAGAAAGTGAGAAAGCAAGCCACCAGGTCCGGGACTCAAACTATGGTTGGCCATGTGGGAGTGTCCAGCACCTTAACCACCAAGCCACCTGCTGGTTCCCTTGAATGATATTTTTAAACAGAAACTTTTATACCATATATATTCCATCTGACATGAGAAAAAGAGTCAAGTCAATGACATATTGAAATTTATAATCTCGTTAGTTCTTTTCCTCGGCACCTAGAAGATGACATGCGTTTTCCGCATAGAAACTAATAACTTAAGGAAATCATGAATTTCTTTCCTTAGAAATATATACTATTAATGTAGAACAAAAGAATTTCTGGGTTAACAAATTGTTTACCTAAAACTCTTCCTTTAGCAAAAATTCTTAAAATCCAGTGTTCTTAAGAAAAACTTGGAAGGAAATTTATTTTTTTTCTTTCTTTTTGTTTGCTATAAGGCACGTGCACTTGCCAGAGACAGAGATCTACAGAAAGTGAGAAATCATGCCTAGTGGGGATGGCCATACCACAATTCCTTCTCCTCCATTCTCCTCTCAGGGCTTTGGTCAGGTACACACACATGCCCAGTGTGATTTTCAAACCACCAGGTCTGGGAATTGAACTGAAGAGTAGGT